GTGAGTGTCTAAGGGAACTCTGGTTTACACATGTATGACAAAGAACTCAAGGTTATCAGCCTGAATGTTAATGGCTTGTCCAGCCCCATTAAGAGGTGTACAGTTATTTCAAAGGCAAAAAAGGAAAAGGCCCATATTCTATTCTGGCAAGAAACTCACTTAACGGATCAAGAACATGAACAAATTAAGAAAATGGGTTTTAGACATACTTATTATTCATCTTTAAAAACAGGACATAAGAGGGGAGTGGCTATTATGATGCCAAATTCGGTTCACTTTGAACTTCTGTCAGAGACAAAAGACAAGGAGGGGAGGTTCATTATGGTTAAAGGTAGACTAGATAATAAAGAGGTGACTCTGCTTAATGTGTATGCACCTCCGGGTAGCAACGGGGCGTTCTATAAAAAAGTATTTGATTTAATTGCATTTCAATCTGTGATCATCTTGATAGATGTTTGGAGAGACTTTCATAATCAGGATAGACAGTTCACGTTCTACTCAAACCGTCATGATGTCTATTCAAGGATTGATTATTTATTCATGCACAGTTCTGAGAGGCACAGGGTAAAATAATGTGGAATAAGTCAGAGAGACTTGTCAGATCATTCCACTGTTCACTTAAAACTACATTTAGATGGTAGAACTAGGAGAACAATGTGGAGATTAAATATAAGTGTACTAAATAACACTGGAATCCTGGAAAGATTAAAGAACAAGTTACAAATATACATCACTGATAATGACGTTGGAAATGTTAGCCCAGTGATACTGTGGGATGCAGCAAAAGCAGCTTTGCGGGGGGATTTTATCAGAAACGGCTTTTGCTAGAAAGATGAAACCCAGAGACTCCTAGACTTGCAAACACAGCTCTCTGATCCAGAGTTACTCTCTCAAATGAGACCAATTCAACAAGAAATTGATGAGATATTTTGTGATGAGGTGGAGAAAAAGCTAAGATTTACGAAACTGAGATATGATGAGGCAGGCTCCAAGGCCTCTAAGTTGATAGCCTGGAGGTTGCGGAAACAGCAAACTGAAAATACAGTTCATAAAAATAGGGACCCTCTTCCTAAAAAGATTACATGTGAGTTGGAGGGCAATAATCATGCTGTCTAATCAGCATCTTGATATGCCACACCTGTGAGGTGGGATGGATTATCTCGGCAAAGGAGAAGTGCTCACTATCACAGATCTTTTCAGATTTGTGAACAATATTTGAGAGAAATGGTTATTTTGTGTTTATAGAAATGTTTTAGATCTTTGAGTTCATCTCATGAAACATGGGAGTAAAAACAAAAGTGTTGCGTTTATATTTGTGTTCAGTGTATAAACATAGAGATTCACAGATAAAAGACGATCTAGATAGCTGGGCCTCTTTGCCCCTGGATCTTGGAAACACAATGATGTCAGTAAAAACTAATATATTACCCAGACTTCTTTACTTGTTTATGTCATTACCCATTCATATTCCGGATACTACATTTAGAGAATGGGACAAAGTGATATCACGATTAATATGGAACAGCAAACCCCCTCGGGTGAGATACAAAACTCTACAGCTGCCAAAGCAAAGCGAAGGGATGGGCTTCCCAACCTTAAAGCGGCACAGATAAGCCCACTGATGCTCTGGTGTAATAAAGAATATCTTTTGGAATGGAAACACATGGAGCTGTCAATGCTAGACAGGCCCTTACAGAGTTTGCTAGGATGCCCACTAGCTGCTAAACAATATGAAATCCCGAGTCGCTGGGTTCGGTTTTCTATGGAGATCTGGTCCGGCAAATGAAACAACTCAACATTCAAAAATAAATACGAATCTTAATGTGGCCGACTCACGACCCAGATTTCAAACCAGCTGTTAATGACACAAGGTTCATTCAATGGTTGAGGCAAGGAATTACAGCACTTTGTGTGTTGGTTGATAATCAAGAATTTATAGATTTTAAAACGATGTCAGAAAGATATGGCCTTGCCCAGCAGGATTTCTATAGATACCTCCAAATTCGACACTATTTTGATAAGAACATCAAAGGATACATGCCAGGTAATGTATCGGGCATCACTCAAATGTTTATTAGGGCTTATAATGCAAAATGATCCAGAAAGATCGTAGGTGAGCTATACAAATGCATAGTTGAACTGAGAGGCCACTCAACAAATTACATAAAGATAAGAATAATAATAATCCCCTTGATTATTTATCACAGTTCCAAGCAAACTAGTGCTTTGTTTTGAAATCACATCCGTGAGTTTCGCCCCCCCCCCCCTCGCTCCAATGACCATTTTGTTAGGGAAATAATTGTCCTAGACTCCTAGATATGACGTGCATGGCCAACCCTGACGTCTGCTATCTCCTTTAAGCAATAAGTAACTGACGTAAAATGCTAACTGTTACAACAATATTAACAATCAATAATGTCATATATTATAATATAGCACATATGAAATACATTTTCCTGGAAAATTAGTCCCCTTATTTTTAATACTTTAATAGTGAGAGTAAGTGTGGTTTTAAATGCATTTACTTGTAAAGGAGTCTTTGACATTAATCGTATTGGTACGTTTACTGAAGCAAAGACTCTGAATACTTTTTCCACCAAAGTAAAGTACAAGTTCTCTGATCCTCCTCACAGTCTAAGTGTCTGTTACTTTATATAAGAACAAGGTCAACGTCTTCTTTAATATCAAATATGCCAAAAGGTGGCGCAGGAATGAGTTCTAAAACCAGCAAATGATTCAGCATTTTGGCACTTCCTTGTTTTACATTTGTTCTACGACGTTGATCAGAAACCCTGCAGCACTGTAAATAAGGAGAGTTATCAAAAGTATTGTTGACATCATATCAAAGTAATATCACCAAAAGTAAAATGTTAACGGCCAACTGGAAGATTTCAGAAAGAAGTATGATATCTGTATAAAATGCCAATGTACGTCCGTAGTCCCCAAGCAGGTAAAGAATACAGAACATATACCAGTACCAATATCCAATCAAAAACATACAATACACAAGTACAAAGAAAAATGAAATGCACTAAATGATGTTAGACGAGATCCTAGTTCTGGTTTTCCTCAAAGATTAGTCCTACCTTGAGATCTCTTTAGATCAGATCCTGGTTCTAACAGAAGTATTCAGTGTGTTTGAGGTTTGTAGGAAACTCACCAGAGATTCTGCTGTTTGTTGAGAAAAACCTGAGATCGTTGATTCTCCTTCAGAGAGACACGGAGCAGGAGACTCAGTAGCACAAATGATCCAGAAAGATCGTAGGTGAGCTATACAAATGCATAGTTGAACTGAGAGGCCACTCAACAAACTACATAAAGATAAGAATAATAATAATCCCCTTGATTATTTATCACAGTTCCAAGCAAACTAGTGCTTTGTTTTGAAATCACATCCGTGAGTTTCGCCCCCCCCCCCCTCGCTCCAATGACCATTTTGTTAGGGAAATAATTGTCCTAGACTCCTAGATATGACGTGCATGGCCAACCCTGACGTCTGCTATCTCTTTTAAGGAGATAGGCTGCTTCAGCCATGATGTTGTTGTTCCCATTCGATGACCGGGCAACCCTAGGTCACAGATGGTTTATTGTTGTGGGTACACTGGGACACTTCCTTCTCTGTGTTTGTGGACTCCAAGGTGTGAAATCTCCGAGGCCATAAGTGTCAGACGCAAGTAACTCAGTGTTCCCAACTGTTTAGGCTATCTTCTCAAATATGTTGATGACTCTCTGTGAAACCAGTTAAATGGGCTGACGAGAGAGAGGCGCTCCAGAGTTGACATGACAACTCTACCGTGCAGTCAGATCGTGGCTGCTGTGACTTGTGATGTGAATTCTCCGGCCGAAGCTCCTAAATAAACCACCAGTGTTTGACATCAAAGCTCCTGCTCTTCCCGTGTCTCCTTCATGAGTCGGTGACTCCCGCTGCATTGCTACACAGAAGTTTCCCCCACACATTTGACCATTTAGTAAGGTAACAAACAAAAGCACTTCGCAGACACTCTTCCGTTTACTTGTTGAATAAAGAAAAACAAATGGTCCGAAGATACACGGATTTCATCTCCCTCCATCATGTTGATTTGAATCCGAAGTTCTGAACATGAGCCCGCCCCTCTCGACCTTCTGAGCCAATCACAGCGCGATAATGACCTGCCTTCCGTTTCAACCATACTCCTTCCGTTTCTTCTCTTGCATACATATATTGTCTTCAGACATGCATATATTATTTATAATATTAAATGTAAACATTGAATGAATGTACACGAGAGCAACATGTATACATATGTGAGTGACAATGCATGAATGTGTGCATTGAAATAAGATAATATGAGAACAAAATGTATGAATGTGTGAGTGTAAATATATATGTATATGAGAGTGTAAATATATGTAAAAGGAGAATGTATGTGTGTGAGAGGACCAGTATTAGTTACGGCCTGTACGGCCCCTCATAAAGTTCTGCTCTGCTTCACTTACGGGGCGTGGTTTGCAAATTGCCCAGCCAATCAGAAATTGGAACCTTTTTCTCTCCAGGAAAGTCCCTGCTCTCTAGCAGGGACTGAAAAGGGGTGAAAAGGTTCCCGAAAAGTTCTAGTTCCAGATATTTTTGGTGTGAACGCAAAATCCCAGGAACTATCGGAACTATTCCTGGGAAAAGTACTCCGGTGTGAAAGCGCCTATTAGCATAAAGCTCTCTGAGCAGGGTCGGTCAAAGTAAAAGTGTTGGCCCAGTCTAATGACAAACAAATGACTACACACAATGACCAGGTTAACATGTGTGGCGTCTGACATCGATTCAGCGCCCTGACTGCCGGCTGTCCACAGCTTATATGGGCAACAACAGCAAGTCGTCCATCTTTGGTAGAGTAAAGTAATCTGACAGACAGCAAGTCTCCTCGCTCTGCTTCACTTAATGCACTGAAGGAGGAAGCAGCCTCTGCAGTTACCAGCGTGTTGTTGTTCATACCTGAAGATATAAAAGGGAGGGAACCATCACATACCTTGAGAGGGAGCAGCTGGCTGCGTTTGAGAGCAGGAAGGAAGGGAACAGGCTTTACTGCACAAAGAGGAGCAGTGTGTGTCATCTGTCGATTACAACATGCAATAAGTAACTGAAGTAAAATGCTAACTGTTACAACAATATTAACAATCAATAATGTCATATATTATAATATAGCACATATGAAATACATTTTCCTGGAAAATTAGTCCCCTTATTTTTGATACTTTAATAGTGAGAGTAAGTGTGGTTTTAAATGCATTTACTTGTAAAGGAGTCTTTGACATTAATTGGTACGTTTACTGAAGCAAAGACTCTGAATACTTTTTCCACCAAAGCAAAGTACAAGTTCTCTGATCCTCCTCACAGTCTAAGTTTTGGTTACTTTATATAAGAACAAGGTCAACGTCTTCTTTAATATCAAATATGCCAAAAGGTGGCGCAGGAATGAGTTCTAAAACCAGCAAATGATTCAGCATTTTGGCACTTCCTTGTTTTACATTTGTTCTACGACGTTGATCAGAAACCCTGCACCACTGTAAATAAGGAGAGTTATCAAAAGTATTGTTGACATCATATCAAAGTAATATCACCAAAAGTAAAATGTTAACGGCCAACTGGAAGATTTCAGAAAGAAGTATGATATCTGTATAAAATGCCAATGTACGTCCGTAGTCCCCAAGCAGGTAAAGAATACAGAACATGTACCAGTACCAATATCCAATCAAAAACATACAATACACAAGTACAAAGAAAAATGAAATGCACTAAATGATGTTAGACGAGATCCTAGTTCTGGTTTTCCTTAAAGAGTAGTCCTACGTTGAGATCTCTTTAGATCAGATCCTGGTTCTAACAGAAGTATTCAGTGTGTTTGAGGTTTGTAGGAAACTCACCAGAGATTCTGCTGTTAGTTGAGAAAAACCTGAGATCGTTGATTCTCCTTCAGAGAGACACGGAGCAGGAGACTCAGTAGCACAAATGCTGTCTTTGATAAACTGTTAACCTTTATCTGAAGGCGTGGCATTAAAGTACTGAACACAACAAGAAGACGGACCGGATCACACCTGTGACGGGTATGGGTGTGACTGTATGAAGAATATGCAACCACTGTCAATCCAAGCCAAAATCAGCCACGCAGGAAAGTCAGTAAACAACTCTGAACCGATTTTTTAATAAATGCGAGGGGTTCTTAGTATCCGCTGATCACAGGTTCTTCGGGGTAGAAGTTAACATTTACCGCTACAACCATCATAACCTGACTCATCAGAGAGAGAGAGAGAGAGAGAGAGAGAGAGAGAGAGAGAGAGAGAGAGAGAGAGAGAGAGAGAGAGAGAGAGAGAGAGAGAGAGGTGAGAGACAGACAGGTGAGAGAGAGAGAGAGGTGAGAGAGAGAGAGAGAGAGAGAGAGAGAGAGAGACAGAGAGAGAGACAGAGAGAGAGACAGACAGACAGACAGACAGACAGACAGACAGACAGACAGACAGACAGACAGACAGACAGACAGACCAAATCTAATTGGCTTCCTTCCAAAACACCGCACCACCTACCATGTATATGCCCTTCACACTTTAATTAACAAACATGTACACCAAACAAAAAATGTGGTGTACATGTGGGGGGCTCTTGGGAAGATATTCACTTGTTTCATTGATTTCAAGAAGCACGAAGGGCTCTGTTATAGACTTCTACATTGTGGTATAGGGGGCAACATGTATGATCTGGTTAAATCAATGTATTTAGAAAATAAATATGCTGTTTAAATTGGAGACAAACAAACTGAATTCTTCAATTCTCAAGTGGGTATGACACATTCATAGTTTGAGGGAGGATTAGGCAAATGAAGCCGCTGACGTCACTTCTTCTTCTGCTGCTTTGGGTTTACTGGCAGGCCGCAAACTACTTCACGGCGTATACTGCCACCCGAAGTCCCCGGCTGGAAGTCCCCGGAGTTGGGGAAGGCTTCAGTAGAAGCTGCTGGGACTCCCAGCAGCTTCTACTGAAGCCTTCCGAGTAAATCGCCAGAACGCCGACACCTCCTCATCTCCACCGCTCCCATGTTTTCTTTTGTGTTGCCATAAGTTAGTCTCTCTGCGTTGGTGCGCTGGGCTAATGCTAATAATGCTAATGTGAGCAAATAAAATGGCGGCTTCACAAAACTTTTTGTAGTTTTACGGGGCGTGGTTTGCAATTCGCCCAGCCAATCAGAAATGTGAACCTTTTCCCTCCCCAGGAAAGTACCATCTCTTTAGCAGGGACTGAAAAGGGGTGAAAAGGTTCCCGAAAAAAAACATTTTAGTTCCAGATATTTTTGGTGTGAACGCAAAATCCCAGAAACTATCGGAACTATTCCTGGGAAAAGTACTCCGGTGTGAAAGCGCCTATTAGCATAAAGCTCTCGGAGCAGGGTCGGTCAAAGTAAAAGTGTTGGCCCAGTCTAATGACAAACAAATGACTACACACAATGACCAAGTTAACATGCGTGGCGTCTGACATCGATTCAGCGCCCTGACTGCCGGCTGTCCACAGCTTATATGGGCAACAACAGCAAGTCGCAGTGTTAATTTTGGCAGCTGTTTTTGATTTAGTCTTAGTCTTTAGACGAAAATGGTTATTAGTTTTAGTCACATTTTAGTCATTTCTATCATAGTTTTAGTCTAGTTTTAGTCGACGAAAACTCAAAACGTTTTAGTCAACTGTTAGTTGATGAAAAATTACATTTTAGTCAACTTTTAGTCAAAAGGTTTTCTCTCTTTAAACTAATTCAGTAAAAATACAGGAATCTGAAATCTGAATCAATGTGACAGCATCAAGTGTTGAAATTCGTAAAGCAACATTTCACTCTCTTAACACTTTACTTGTGTAATATCTAGGGATGGGTATCGTTAAGGTTTTCTACGGTACCATTAGTCTTATCGATACTGCATTACATTACATTACATTACATTTAGCTGACGCTTTTATCCAAAGCGACTTACAATAAGTAATACGCAGTGAATGTTGTTTGTTCCTACCTGCATGACTAAAGGTAGGTCTTTAATGACATCCACTTAAACACAGACAGTGGCAGAAATTCAGTGTTAGTATTATTAGATCTCAGTGCTGCGTTTGACACTGTTGACCACAGCATATTACTAGACCGACTGGAAAACTGGGTGGGACTTTCGGAAACAGTTCTAAATTGGTTTGAATCCTACTTAAAGGACAGAAACAACTTTGTTTCTATAGGTAAATACACATCTGAGTTGACAAATATGACATGTGGGGTTCCTCAAGGCTCCATCTTGGGGACTCTTCTCTTTAAGATCTACATGCTACCACTGGCTCAGATAATGAAGAACAACAAAATAAGTTACCATAGCTATGCAGATGACACACAAATTTACGTAACAATTTCACCAGGAGACTATGCTCCAATTCAAACACTGAGTAAGGGCTAATAAAGATTGGAACTCTGTTCTTAATACACCGCCTCCGACTCCCATTTCCTGGCACTACAGTATAAAGTTTTGCCGTCCAGGCTTGCACTTTCAGATATGCTTCGTTTGCTTCTCTATTACGTCCGCTATGGTAATGTTTACGTGGATTTGGGAACTGCCCATCGATTCTATTGGATGTAATGGTTAAGAAAAAGGTGTAAATCACACGAATCGACCAATGGGTTCCAGAGATATGGTCCTGCGTAAAGTATAAAGAATGCCAGCCAGCGTAACAACATTACGCAGCCGACTTCATTTATTGTTTACAACGTAACGAAGCAGGAAATGCAGCAGGACCCAGAGCGCACGGAGCACAGAGCGGACAGCAGATAACGGAATTGCAGTTTTATTGCTTATAGATTATCAGAACATTTCAAAGGGGACACAGCCCCATTGGATATTAACCTATGGATTAACTACATCATCGTTTTTATCGTTCTAATGCCATTGAAGAGCAGTTTAGACCAGACAACGAGGAAGGTAAGTCATTGTTAGCCTAGCGCATGTTAGTACTTAGTACTTAGCACTTGTTTTGATGTACGTTTTTGTTGATAACCTCGCGAGTTTGTATCTTTCAGTGTTGAGGTGGGCACCGTTAGATTCTGTGTCTCCTTGCGATCATAAACGATGTGTTGGATGTGCAGCTAGGATAAGTAATAAGGGAACTAGGAGTGATTTTCGGTGCAGTAATAGGTTAGCATTTTTCGCTCGGGGCTAATTCAGAGGCTCACTGTTAGCATTGTGTGTTTTTTTTGAAAAAATAAATGAAAAAGATCAGTTAAATGAGTTTTTTCCCGTTATATAGATATCAAATATTCATAGTTTATTAAATATTAAGGTTCCTTAGACGTTGTTTCCTGCAAATGACGCGATTTCGGGTCCGTGGGGCTAAGAGGATAACAGAGTAGGCCTATGTTTTATTTTTTTATTTTATTTATTTTTTCACAACAGTTGTATTTGGATGGAATGAATACCTATAGTGATAATTCAGGGGCAGGGCCAGTGCCCCCCTAACACTGACCTCTGACCCCCCTGTGGCCCTAACAATGAACTTTTTTTGTTGTTGCCAAAAACCGCAGGATTTTGTTGCTGTAATGTGAGATTGTGCAGACACCCTTATGTAAAGTAGAGATGTAACTGTTCATTGCCTTTATTTTTATATAAATATGGCGTTAGTGCAAACATTGCACTATAACTTAAGCTGAAGCTAACAGTAATAACTATAAGATCTATCTGCAATAAATAAGTGTACTGAAACAAATACCAATAACTGTATTGCATTGTTTTCTTATGCGCAATTACTTCAAACTGTCTTGTTCTCTTTTTCGTCCTGCATTTATTGTGCCCCCCTCAGAAAATAACTGGCCCCCCAGTGCTCCCCCCCCCCCCCCCCCCCAGTCAAATTGGTCTAGAACCGCCACTGAATATAGTTAAAAAATACCAATTGTATAGCATTAAAGTTCAAGAAAGCATGGTTTGCGGGAACAAAAACGGTCTTTTCTTCAATTCCTGTATGTTTTCATATCGCAGGAGGGAAAAAATCGCAATGTCAGTTTTTTCCAATATCGTGCAGCCCTAATTACTGAATCTATAAAATAACACGTTTCGCGCAATGTTAGTAACTGTAGTGTGATTACTGAATGTATAGAAGTAACGCGTTACATTAGTCCGTTACCAACAAATGTAATATTATTACAGTAACGCGTTACACCCAACTCTGTTTGGAACCTTGATAACCTCTAAAATACATACAAATATGAGGTTGTATCAACACCTCAAACAGCAATTGAATATCATAGTCTTTACAAATGTATTTCTAACGGACGTATTGTATCTGATTACGTAACATTATTTCATGTCCACCCTCTGTATATATTTAGGTATCGTTAACCAGGTGAGCCCCAAGCCTGTTTTTCAGGCCTCAGGCTCGAAAATGACATTCCCAGAACAATTGACTATAACTTAACTTCTAAAAGGGGTAAATTAATAATCTTTTTTCTCAAAGCAATGATACACCTGTGAGTTGGATGTCATTTTTGTATTTGAAAGTAAATTTAGATTGAACATAGTAAAATATTTTAAATTATAGTGTCCGTCCCAAAAAAAAACATGACTTATAGTGAAAACTACCCTTGAATGATGATAAGGTAGACTAAAAGCTTTAGGAATCCAAACTACAACATATAATAAGTACCCTGTATCAAGATTGATGCAAAACAAGTGAAATTTGACCTTTTTAGAGAGATTTAGAAAAAAACAAAAACACTTCTGGGGTCATTTGGGTGGATTTTCCATATCTCTGGCCCCCCTTGGTCGATGTTGATGATTGACACCTCTTTCTAACCGTTATAGCCAATATAATCGAGAGGAAGTTCCTTAAATCCATCTAAACATTACCCATTGGTGAATGAGTACTGCGTAGCCAGAATGCCCAACACCGGAAGCTGTACACTCTCGTAGCTAATATGAAATCTCGGTTATTAACATAAATATGAAGATGGATTATCAGTAATCATTCAAAGTGACACAGACACATTGGATTAACCTTCAGCAGCGTGTTTATCGTTTTAATGCCATTGAACACAACTTTTGATCAGAACAACAGCTAAGGTAAGAATTTCTCCTGTGTTTGCTCCGTAATGCTACATTGTCTGATGTCTGTTTGTAGTTTATTAAATGTTAAGAAGCCCTCAGACGCTGTTTCTTGCAAGATGTTGCGTTTTGCCCCCGTGGGGTTTAACTGGTTAAATGAAACTGCGCTACCATCAAAAACTTGTTTTGTTTTGTAGAACCTACATTTTGTTTGCCTGGTTTCTACCTCCTCATTACAAAGGGTTGTGTTTTTGTGTAATTGATACGATATTACTTTATTTGTCAGATAGCAGCTCCATGTCCAACATCAACAGACAAATATCCAGACACAATACATGAAACACAAACATTTAACATAACAGTACAATCAGTGAGACGAAAGAGAGCCTTCAGCGTGCATCTGATCTGGGATCAGCTCTGTGTTTACTGAGAGGATTGACTGATGCACAAAGGAGTGCTTCAGTCTGACCTTATTGAATGGTGGGACCCTGTATCTCCATTAGATGGTAGCAGTTCATATTCACTGTTCAGAGCATGGTTTGGGTCAGAGATTATGTTGTTGGACAGCCTCACTAGGTTGTTATGATAGGTCATAGAGTCTCTGACAGGGTTGAACAACAATCTTTGAGCAGATTTTTAACAGGTGGAGCAGTTTTGATTTTCAAGCTGCTGACAAACATTTGTACCATTTGTACCACCAATTGAGTTGTGTGCACTCCTTGTTGTTTTGCCCCTTGTCCTTATTCCTTTCTGGCTCCAACGTCTCCTACTCCTCTCCATCCACCTCCCGTAGCTAGATGACGTCTGACTCCAGCACGTATTGCTCGGTGTACTCCTTCACCAGCTCCACGTTCAAGATGTTGAGGCAGAATTCCACCATGGGCTTCCAGAGTGGGGGGTCCAGGAACACCTGGCACATCACGTGACCCTTCAGAGTGGCAGTGTGGCGCTGCAGGTGGCACAGGAACTGCTGTCGGACAGGATCCAGCTCCTTGCCGAACATGTCAATGTTCAGGTAATACCTGGTTGAAAATAAGTGTACTGGTCAATTGAGTGACAATACTTTCTTGTTCTACAATAACTTCTGGAAATCTTAACCCTCCTGTCGTGTCTGTTTCTCCCCCTTACTAAAATGTGACCGTTCTGTAACTTTAACTTATCTTACATTGAAACAAAAACCATTAAAAATCATCACATTTTATTTAACACCCTGTTAAGATGCAAACAATGTCTCAGACTTCTGGTTTACATGAATGGGTGTGTACTATCTGATGGATGAACAGACTTTAGAGTTACCCATTCATTTCCTATGGTGGTCATTTTTGACTGGGAACACCATCATTGTTACAAAGTGAACTAAACCACTCAAAATTCAAAGAAAGTGGTGATCAGCAACTTTATATGTTCAAATGCCGACTGTGGAGGATATCATAAGGTCTTGACGCAATCAAATATAAAACACAATATTTATGATTGAGGAAAGAAGTAATCATTCCAATTTGATCCGAACATGACAGGAGGGTTAAAACCACTTTGATTTGATAACAAATTATCAAATCTGGCACCAATGGTATTATTGTAAGACAATATTATTGCATATTTTTCTGCACAGTAGTAGTTGAAATTATTATAAGAAGAAAGAAAGAAGAGTTACCAGTCATCTCCAATGGGCACCCTGTAAGGGAATGTACAGAGGCTGGTCACAGTAGGGTTGGCCACATCATCGACCATCCAGTCGATGTCCTTCTTCAGTAGAATAGCCATGTTACTGGGTAGAAGCTTGAATGGCTGAGAATCTTGAATGATGGTGGCATTAGGAAGGACCCCATGCATCCGATCAGAGGTCAGATACAGCCGGCGGATGGCTGTATTGTCGAGACGCACTGGAGGAGGTTTGAAGGAGGTGGACAAAGAAGATTGAATATCTCCAAGACCAAGATCAGACAGACGCAGCTTGAGTTCTTCAGCCCTGAATCGCACCAGGAAAATACCCTATAGAGAAGAGAGCCAATGCATGAGCTGACCATGGACTATATCGTACATATTTACATCAATAGTGTAACCAACGGACTTAAATGGAGGCTTATAAAGCACAAGCCGATACATAGAAAGGCTTGTTGCTTGTACCTGCTTGGTTATGAGGCGATATTTCTGGAAATCCTTGGGTCCGAGCTGATCTTCACGGGACAAGCGGGTTACTTTGACATCAGGGAACTTGGATTTGACCAGATCAGAGCAAAAGCGCTGCAGAACCCCAACCACACCCTTACCTCTTTCCTGAGGGGCGACACGTAGTGCTTGCACCAGCATAGTCTCCCCATCGTCAATCACAAACACTGACTCCAGAGCAATCTGTTGAGTAGAAAAAGAAAAAATGCGAAGAAAATCATTGACATGTCCTTTTTAGAACCATTTCTGAAGCTGGTCTAGAGCAGCATAACTGACAAATGATGAATGATCTTAAATGTCTAAGAGATTTGGGAAACAAGAACATGCTAATCAGAGCATGAAACATGAGCCAATTTCTGTGTGGCAATGGCAGCAGACAGTGGCCGCTGGTAGAATTGTTTTAGGTGCGGCTGTTGACATAGTGACCAAACCAAAAAAGGGTGGTCCGGGTGGATGCTCCGCCGGAATTTTTTTAGGAGAAATGACCCCTTAAATTATGACTTCTGGTGATGCTAGAGGGGGGGAGGGGGGGGGGGGGAGGAGAAATTGAGGCTTAAAAATATGAGAAGACTGATCAATACCTGCATAATCTTCAGTGTGGAAAATATTATGTATCAACCTGGACATCTACCACTGTACCAGGAATTTGTATTCTCAGAACTGGTCTTTGTTTTTTTCTTTCTTAAAACTGTTCATGTTTGATGAACCAACACCTCCACGAAGTGGCTTTACAGTGAACTGCATGTGGGATATAAAAGATAATGTGTTTCTGGTCATTAATAGCATCTTTTCAGTAGCATTAATTATATGCTATTAAATGATTCATATAATTTACCCCCGGCACAGTCCACGGGCACATCGTGTCCCCGGCTGTTTGAAAAGCAAGTATGGGAGACAAAAGACAGCATTTACCTGTTTGCATCAAGCTAGCCATGCCTTTCTGGTGTACCAGCTACGTGAGAAGCCTCGTTGATTCGTTTTGTTTTTTTCACGAGCTTGCTGCGATATATACAAATCGGGTTGGTCCGGTCCAAGGTCTTTATGCAACAATTTATCTCCCAAAGTTCTCCTTTCGAAAGGATTGGAGATTAGCTCTTGAACGGAATTGGGCGGGGACCAAGGTCTGGAGACTCCACCTGCACACGAAGCCATCCTCATCAACTACTGCCGTACTGCGTCACCCCACCGGATACGAGTCACTAGTGTCCAAACTACTCACAGACTGCACTGGGCGCTGACCAGTGGCGCCCTATGACCATCAGATTTGACGACGCTGATTGGCAGAAATTATGTTTCGGCGGCATAGTTTACAGACAGCAACAGTCAACAATGTGTTGGCTGCTGGCTGCACTGGCTCAGGGCTCCTCTCTTAGCGCCCAGAGGAGAGAGGGTAATGATACACGCTGCGGCCAGGCAGGAAACATGTGACTTATCAGTAACTTTAGACATCGTTACACAATTTTAAACGAGATTTTATTGTAGATTATACATTTTCCTGATAACAATTATATAATATTTACCTTATATTTATATATTTTTTAAATATATATATTTTTTAATGTGGGAAGAGGGGGGGCGGCGCCCCTATGGGCCGGCCGCTACTGGCAGCAGACTAATTAATGTACCACCAGAACCAGAACATCTGTAAACAGTTAACGAAGTTTAGCTTGGATCCACTGATCTTTGGAGCTAGAAGGAGCCAGTTGAGATCCTTCAGGCATCTTATTATTATCTTATTCTGGAAACCTTCTTTTGTCCCTGTGTTCTGGGAATGTCCAACTGGAAGGAGAACCCCAAAAACTCAGAATAGCTAAAGAGATTATCCATTTGCCCTGAAAATACCTTGGGATGACCCAGGGTATGTTGGGAAGAACCCTTTGGATACTTTGTCTTCTGTCACTGAAAGTTATCTAAAACACTTTCAATGTCATTGAGTCGGATAAGACGTAAACACAGAAAGAAGTCTTCCTAAATACTCAAAGCTGGTGCAGTGTAACTTAAAGTAACTACTACCAATTCAAAGTTCCACCAAAGAGCTTGGTGCATAGTTTGTATCCATACAACATGTCAGCATCAGTGCTTGGCGTGTAGAGGTTACGATTTAAAATGTAGTAATTATATAAACAGTTCCTAACCCAAGTAACCCCCCATTACTACGAGGTTTTTCTCGATTGCTGTCTAGCTGGACGTTAGAAAGGTTAAACACATTGGTGGGCTCTACTTTAGAGAGACTGGTCTGGGACCTGTTAGAATGGCAGTTAGTCTCCAAAGTAGGACAAAGGTGACTCCCAGTAATTCGCAATTGTTTCATTTGAATTCTGTGTTCTTGGATAGTTGGAGAATGGAAAGTTCCCAGTAGGTTTCTGCTTATTAAACGCAGTTGCTGAGAAATGAAACCAACGAGGAATGGCCTTAATTATGACAACTGTAATTTTCGACTTTTTAATTTTAAGTCATGAAACTCTTACTTTTGCACAGAGAAATGTCTTGGATAAGAAAACTATTTTCCGACTTCTATAATTCAAGAATTCAGCTTTTTATACACACAGCAAATTCGCCAGTGTGAAAATCCTGGCGTTAGGGCTTTTCGGGTTAAAGTGTTGTGGTCACATTTAACATGATAAACACCGCCTGTTGTTAATACACTATATAGTACAGGGTTGAATCATGGTGTTAAACATATTTAACGACAGATAGTGTGTTCTCTCAATCCGGGTACTTTTACGTGATGTGCGTGAAATTATTTAGATCTCCGCCATCTTTTTGATGCAACATTCAGTCTCGAGAGACCGCAGTCCGTGACGGTAAGTTATCGCTACGTTTCATAATTTGTTCCCCAGATAGCTTACATTGATTTGGCTTGAAAATACAGTTGTGTGTGGGAGGTAGCGTAAAATAATGTTTTCGTTACTAGCTTGCTAATACTATTTGACTGTATGGTCATGACCAGGTTCAGGTGCACGGACCATACAGTCAATGCTTGCTTGCTAAACTGTCGAATTAGATATGGATGTCGAATTAACGTTAGATAATTATGTAACAGAAAATGTAATCAACGAAGATCAATGTATTGCACATGTCTATCGTTAGTTCGACAGCGAGCTAACAAGCTCTAGTGTCCGTAAAAAAGTTGTTCGATAATTGCCGCCTTTTCCTTTCCAGCATGTTCTCCGTCTAACGGAAGCAGCCATCAGTCCGTCTTGCAGCAAGTGTCCACCGTGTGCCCTCGACAGACTGCAGTCAGTGAGTGACGTTAAGTTATATAGATAACGTTACATTTAATTTAAATTGTTCCCCAGTTATCTAACATTACTTAATTTGAAAATAACGTTACAGTTGTGTGTGGTAGCTAATAATGTTTACTAGCTTGCTAAGAATATTTGTCTGTAGTGGCCGTGCACCTGCTTGTTAAACGTTAGCTAGCTGGCTAGTTAGCTATCCGGTTAGTTAGTTAGCTAGCTAGCTAGCTGTCAAATTAGACACAGATGTCGAATTAGATAACATTAGCTATTTTACATAATATTATGTCATTACGAACACCAGCGTATTGCACATGTCTAACGTTAGTTCGACAGCTAGCTAGCTAAGAGGTTCTGGTGTCGGTGCCTATCGGTATAGTTAGCTGACTTCGCTAACAACGTATTTCCTTTCTAGCACTATCTCAGTGTCACCTAAGCAGCCATCAGCAGTGGCGGCGCCAGAGATTTTCTCTAGGGGGTGCTGTGGGGTAGCTTGACGTTTCATAGAGGGTGCTCAAACATTTAGGGTTTCCCATTCATGCACCAGCGCTACAGTTGAATTGTCTACTGCAACACTCCCCACGCACACACACACAGTGCACCCGCGACTGTTACAGTGAAGGCTCGATAATCAGCTCACGGCATATAGGCAGGGGTAAAGTGCTATTTTTACAAGTGGGGAGCGGACCTCACCTCCTCTAGGAGGGTCCTCACCTCCTCTAGGGGGGTCCGGGGGCTAGCTCCCCCGGGAAGATTTTTTGTTACATATTTAAGTTAAAAGCATCAATCTGGTGCACTTTGAGAGCAACATTAAGAGATCTATGGATACATCTCAACACCCATACGAAACAGAACTGTCAACAGATTTTCTATTTCTTTATAGATATTTTACAAATCACTCCCCTTTTAAAACAAACCGTTTGAGACCCACTGAGATAACTAGACTAAAGTTAACTATCTAAACACTGAGAGAGTCCTTTACTTCACCTGAGTTGAGGTTACCTGAGACTCTCCGTCTGACAGGAGAGAGTTCTCCCTCCACCTTGTTGTTGAAAAAGCTCCTTATATCCATTAGCTTGGCTAGCTAGCACCAGATGCTAACCACAACGATCTCCGGTAGATACCCACTGGTGCGCGAGGCGAGCTCTCTCGCTCGCTCGCTCGCTCGCGCACGCACGCACACAAAATGGCTCGTGCCACACACACACACACACACACACACACAGAGCAGGGCTTGCATGAAACACAGAGACCCAGAAGTAAGCTACTTGTACTCACAAGGCCTATTATGTGCAGAATCCCTCTCGCTTTCAGTTGGTTTTGATTGAGTGTCCACACGTGGTCGTTTAAGGACTAAAAAACGATCAATTTTTCACTTTGCTGTTAGCAAATCATTTGGCGCTCTAGCTAACAGGAAGTTAATCAAGTGTCACAAAGTAATTTAGCCTATGGGTAGGTCAAAAATCGAATGGGTGCTGACCATTGGCCTAATCATATCACCTGTGTTGGCTTTATGTTTTTGGTCAAAAATGTGTTTGTTTCACATATGCATTGATGTAATCAATAATATTTCTAATTTAATTTAATAAAAATAATAATAATAATTTTCGAAAAAAAAAAAACAAACACATATTTCTTGGGGGTGCTTAGGGGGTGCTTTGGCAATCCTGGGGGGTGCTTCAGCACCCCCTAGCTCCCCCCTGGCGCCGCCCCTGGCCATCAGTTGCTGATATCATATATGCTGATATCTGGAATGATTTATTGGTCATTGTAACTTTTAACACCAGTTTGTTGTCATCATAATACCAATACACTACATTTGATACTAGATTAGTGTTCATTTTGAACTCCCAGAGGGTTGAGGCTAATGCAAAATGCAACACCAGTAGCTATAATGTGCATTCAATACTAGCTCAGTGATAGATGGGATGAATTGTTTCACTACTGTGTTACTCTACAGCAGGACAGTGTAAAATTGCAACACGAGTAGTGTACATGTTTAACTCTTAAAGGTGTTAGATGGGAAAAGATGTATCACTACTGTAGTTTTACTCATTTATAAAGCCTTGCGTATAATTCAAGTGGGAAGGTTGCTTACGTAGGACAAAGCAAATAAATACGCACAGACATTTTTCCGATTTATATAACACTGCGTAGGATGTGCGTGCAGCACATCATACGACGGTTTCCCTTTTATAAATCACATGGCACACACCGGCATAAAACATTAGTAACGTGATAGTATATAAAACCATGCTAGTATCTATACAACCTATAGAAAAGCAAAACGGCCTCAGTTTAGACGTAATTATGTCCTCCTGCTTACCGCATAATTTAAGAGAATACATTTCTTAACAAGAGAACATAATCGAGGGGTGATCAATAACATTTCCGTATTTATTTATTTCTCCAGGTTGTGTTTGTGTGCACTGAGGAGTCTCAAACAGGCGTTTGTTAAATTATTTTAAGATTGGCTTTAATCAATGTTTGAAAATGAATTCTTCATAAATGATAAATGAGAGGTAACATTTTATTCATGGTATTATTTCCACATATTTCTCTCCATTCTTCCTTCTGCCAACGGCGTCGCAGTTTCTCGTCTCTCCCGTTGTTGTGCTTAGTGCGTACGCATGGGTTAGAGTTTGCGTGGAGGACCGCACGTTTTCCCGTCAAGTTGGTTTTTTATAAACCGCAAACATTGCTTAGAAACTAGCGTACGCCATCTTTTGAGCGTGCGCAGCGTTTATAAATGAGGCCCCTGGACAGTGTAAAATTGAAGCTGCAGCCAACACTGTTAGTGTTGTTCTTATCGTCTTGGTGTTCAGTGTTGGTGATCACATCTTACACTCTTAGTGTTGCTATAGTAACACTGTGATAATGTTATATTGTCAACACTTTGGAAAGTGTTAATTTAACACTTTGCTGGTGGTTTCCATATAAACTCGTGTTAAAATGAACTACATGGGTGTTGAATTTTAGATTTCAAATGAGCTGTGCATCCATAAGTTATTATATTACTCATCATCAAATATTTTGATTGAACTTACTACTTTTCCCTGTTTGCGGGCCAATATGACGGTGCGGTTGGTCTCCTGCAGCCAGTCCATGTATCTCGTGGGCATGTAGTCGAGGCCTCCATCTACAGTATACCCTGGCTTATGCCCATGATCTCATCAAAGTCCTCCTCAGTGGCCCCAGAAAACTGAAGGCTTGCCTGGGACGGGGCCTCTGGGAGCTGGCGCATGGTCAGGCTGGTGACAATCTTCCTCTTGAAATAACTGATGAGATACAAAGTGGGGGAGAGGTTATTATGGATTGTAATTATTTTCTTAAACAAGGACTTGGGAAAGCCCAAGAGTTGTCCCAACCCAAGTGGGAAATCCTGGATGGGGCTAAACAAGCTTCTTCAAAATGTGTCTGCTTGGATAACAGGTGTTTGTGTCAAATCCACACCAAACTAAGCTGTTAGTTCTTAATTATAAACACATTCAATAATGTTTCTGCCACTTTAAATAGATATAATGGAAAGAATAATCACATTAGTAACTCCCGGCACAAAGGTGTATGTGTTATGCCTTGTACAGTGTAAATGAAACATACGGTAATAATATAGGCATCCAATACAGTGGGAAAATAAATAGGAATCAAATTGATGAGGTGTAGGAATTGAAACTGAAGCAAAACAATGCCAGTGAAAAACCTTTCATTTTCATTCAATCCCCAAAAGAGTGAACCAAATACAAATGACTGCAGGAATGATAATGGCAGTAACTGAATCCGATTAAGCAATTGATGAGTAGAAAGCAGAATAAAGACTTATTCAGGAAAACATGAATGGATGGATCAGAAGGATAGAGAAATGCAAGACATGAAACCAAGAGGCAGACACAAACAGAAAGATGGGCCAACATTCTCCACATTATAATCACTGGTATCTGTCCAGAACTTGGCTAAAGAATTTACAGAATTAAAAAGACAAGATAAAATAGAGAAAGCTTTAAACACATTTATTTCATCACACAACCTTGAAGGCCACAATGCTGTTATTTCACCCAGAGAAGGCTGGATTATTGTAACTCCTTATTATCAGGGTGTACCAAGAAGTCAGTCAAGTGGCTTCAGCTGATTCAAAATGCTGCAGCTCGTGTACTAACCAGAGTTAGGAAAAGGGACCACATTACTCCTGTTCTGGCTGCCTTACACTGGCTCCCTATAGAACACAGGATATAATTTAAAACTCTTCTTCTCGCCTACAAAGCCCTTAATGGGCAGGCGCCATCTTACCTTAAAGAACTCATTATACCCTACTGTCCTACTAGGGCATTGCGTTCCAAGAATGCAGGGTTGTTGGTTGTTCCTAGAGTCTCTAAAAGTACAATGGGAGCCAGAGCCTTTTCTTATCAAGCTCCACATTTGTGGAATCAGCTTCCAGTTTGTGTTCGGGCGGCAGACACCCTATCCGTTTTTAAGAGTGCGCTTAAGACCTTCCTTTTTGATAAAGCTTATAGTGATAAAATAACATAATAAGAGTGCATTGACCTATACATCTTAGTTCTTACTCTTTCCTAAAGGCCCTGTCACACTGTCCCGAAATTGACACCCGATGGACACACGATAAAGGAAATGTTCAAATTCGGCTGTGATCGTAGCAACATCGGGCCATTCGTGAGGGCATCTAAGCCATCGTATGACCGCCGGTGGAGTTTCTCAGGCTCTGGCAGCAACTTCGTGAGCGGCAACTTCGTAAGGCACTCGTGAGGGCATCTTGTCAAATCGTGTCATCTTCGTGTTATCATCGGTGCAATCGCCCTCACTCTGATCGGGGCGAATGCCCGATGGCACCGATGATAACAAGATGCCCTCACGATGGCCTTACGAAGGGCACAATTGACACACGAATTCAACACGAAAATGAACCTTCGCAAGGTCCTTCGGCAATTCTTTGGCATGCCAAAGACTTTGCCACCGCTCACGAAGTTGCTGCCGGAGCCTGAGAAACTCCACCGGCGGTCATACGATGGCTTAAGATGCCCTCACGAATGGCCCGATGTTGCTACGATCACAGCCGAATTTGAACATTTCCTTTATCGTGTGTCCATCGGGTTGTTTTATTGCACAACAAAATCATGTAAATATATTATGTAAATAACCCAATTTGTGTTCTGTGAAACTGAAAAGGATATCATATATTATTTTGAAGGACAGTTGACAGGAAGTTGTTGTTGTTATGGAAACAACATTACGGAGAAAACGTAATATTTTCTACATATAACGACGGATAAAGTAAAGAACAAAGTCTGAAGATATCAGTACAGTATCCAGTGATTCCCGCAGAAATGAAATATACTTTGGGGGAACGACTCGGGGTGGGGTGGGGTGGTGGCGGTGCGTGAAAAAAAATCTCCTCAGAAATCTCTCAAAAATGTAGGAGCGGGGATAGTCCTGGTGGGCTACCCAGGCTGAGTGACAAGGTGGCATCCAGGAAACTGAAATGTTCAGGTCACTGCCATCGACACCAGGAACTTCCAGCTGGCAAGTTAGTACTCTGGGAGCCAACACACGGGCACCGACCAAGAGGGCGCCCCACGCCAACATACGTGGAGGTGCTGAGGAAGGATGTGGGGGTGGAAAGCTCCACAGAGCTGGCCGGGTGTATGGAGGACCGTGAGGATTGGCGAACCCGTTGGCAAACTCGTCTAAGGACGACCTAGTAGTAGTAGTCCTTGATTGGCTCAAGTTCACACCTTTTTAGGGGCGGGGCTAGTGATGTTGTCCCGGGGATGCTTAGGAGTTGATAAAGGAGATAATCCCACTGACGTCATCATTTGATTCCAAAAGTGGGTCTGGACTCGCGCCCATAGAGGCTGTTTACCAGTATAATGGCTCCCCCCAAAGTATAATTTATGGGTAGCTCCCCCCAAAGTATAATTTATGGTTTTTTAAGTTTGTTTACTCACTGAGCACTCATTGCCACCAATGCAAATGCAAATGAGTGCTCACTGAGTAAAAAAAAAAAAAAAAACACACAAATTATACTTTGGGGGGAGCCATTATACTTTGGGGGCCCCCCAAAGTATTAACATGCTGTGGGAATCACTGGTATCATAGTACTGTAACATCATTGTTTGTGTTACTTTCGTTGCAGTTGTATGTCTTAAATGTAATGTAAATGTTGCCTTCGTGTGTGGTTCGGGCCATCTTCGTGCAAAATTCACAATTCCATATTCGTGTGTCCATCGGGTGTCAATTTCGGGACAGTGTGACAGGGCCTTTACTGGTGGTATATCATTTGGTTGTGTGTGTAGACGGTGGAAGCAGGGAGAGGCATATATGTGCCTTGATCCCTGCCGAGTCGACGCACAACTGTTGATTGGTGTCAGTGCCAGAAACACTTTTTAGGAGCAATGCGCTCATGGTATAGATGTGGCGCATACATCTTAGTTCCTACTCTTTTCCCTCACCCTATCCTAAGGGAGTGCATGTACGTAGACACGTTAGTCTAGCTGCTATAGGCTTGGACTGTCGGGGACACCTTACTCCGTCTTTCTGTCTGTCTGTACCTGTGTACTCTCATGTTCCGAATAACCCAGCTTCCCCCAAATCTCTTTTTGGTGTTTATCTACGGCGGGATCCTGAGTCGTGGCTGATCCTGTTGCTGTGGTCGTGTGTCCTGCATCCTGAGTCCTGCATCCTGAGTCCTGAACCAGTCTCTGCGGTCCTGCCTGACTCTCATCACACTACTTCCCTAATGGCTCCCACAGGATTGTTGACATCCTCGTGGATTCATCTTCCTATTATACACACATGCATTTCCAAACATTTGGACTACCTATGTTGCAAATGTATTAGCTTTTCGATTTACACACGGCATCTATTGCACGTCTGTCCGTCCTGGGAGAGGGATCCCTCCTCTGTTGCTCTCCCTGAGGTTTCTCCCATGTTCCCTTTAAACTGTGGGTTTTCTCTGGAAGTTTTTCCTTGTACGATGTGAGGGTCTAAGGACAGAGGGTCTGAGGACAGAGGGTCTAAGGACAGAGGGTCTGAGGACAGAGGGTCTGAGGACAGAGGGTCTGAGGACAGAGGGTCTAAGGACAGAGGGTCTGGGGACAGAGGGTCTGAGGACAGAGGGTCTAAGGACAGAGGGTCTAAGGACAGAGGGTCTGAGGACAGAGGGTCTAAGGATAGAGGGTCTAAGGACAGAGGGTCTAAGGACAGAGGGTCTGAGGACAGAGGGTCTGAGGACAGAGGGTCTGAGGACAGAGGGTCTGGGGACAGAGGGTCTGAGGACAGAGGGTCTAAGGACAGAGGGTCTGAGGACAGAGGGTCTGAGGACAGAGGGTCTAAGGATAGAGGGTCTAAGGACAGAGGGTCTAAGGACAGAGGGTCTGAGGACAGAGGGTCTGAGGACAGAGGGTCTAAGGACAGAGGGTCTGGGGACAGAGGGTCTGAGGACAGAGGGTCTAAGGACAGAGGGTCTAAGGACAGAGGGTCTGAGGACAGAGGGTCTAAGGATAGAGGGTCTAAGGACAGAGGGTCTAAGGACAGAGGGTCTAAGGACAGAGGGTGTCGTATTGTCATACTGATATTCTGTACAAACTGTGAAGTCCACTGAGACAAATGTAACATTTGTGATATTGGGCTATAAATAAACATTGATTGATGATTGATTGATGATTGATTGATTGATTGATAAGACACATCAAGACAAAGTCAAGACCAAAGTGTTGTGGGCATTAACCAAAAAAAAGTATATTGAAGAAAAGAGTGCACAGGTGCCAGGTGTTAAAGTGCACCTATCATGCTATTTGTAGGCATATATTATGGGTCTCAGATATATATACAAATATATAAAAACATGTCTATTTTGTGTTTTTCTCAAAATACAAACAGATAATGCATTTTAGAATCGCTCATATCCCTCTATTCCAGCCCTGTTATGGCGCTTTTCCACTGCAGCACGTAGCACGGCTTAAGCAGGCCCGCTTTTTTAGGGCTAGTTCCGGCTCAGAGCTACTTTTCATCTTTTTCTGGCCCTCCAAAATCGAGGTTCTTACCGGGCCAACAACCGGGCTGAGTATGCTAAACTAGTGACGTGAACACTCTCGACTGCTGAATGGTCAGAGAGAATCGCTACAACAAAATGAACATATTTGACCGTGATTTAATTGTAATACACGTTTGAAAATGATGCCGAACTAACAACATACTGACACCGGTTAGTAAAACCATGAATTAATGCTTTGACAAGTCTGCAGACAGACGGCAGGGGAAAACCTTTTAAAATGTGTGTTTTCTGAATGGAGATCGGTGAGATAAACCTCACTGAATCTAGTGGTTAAACAATTAACAACCCAACAGCCAAAACAGCACTCACTGCAGTGACAGAAAGCTCTCTGAGCAAAGTAAAAGTGTTGGCCCAGTCTAATGATATACACATTACTTCACACACAATGTCCAGAATAACGAGTTAACCAGGTTGATGCCCTGAAGGAGGAGGCAGCCTCTGCATTTACCAGCATGTTGTTTGCCCTAAAGGTATAAAAGGGAGGGAACCATCACATACCTTGAGAGGGAGCAGCTGGCTGCGTTTGAGAGCAGGAAGGAAGGGAACATGCTTTACTCCACAAAGAGGAGCAGTGTGTGTCATCTGTCGATTACAACATCCAATAAGTAACTGACGTAAAATGCTAATTGTTACAACAATATTAAAAATCAATAATGTCATATATTATAATATAGCACATATGAAATACATTTTCCTGCTAAATTAGTCCCCTTACTTTTGATACTTTAAAAGTGAGAGTAAAGGTGGGGTAGGTCATTTTGGAGAAACCAGCTCGAGTGGCTAGAATTTGAAAATACACAGCCGGAACAAATCTGCCGCTTCCTCACAGAGCCCCTCCTCCAACACACACGAACGCACACATGACCAATGAGGGCACGAGATCAGTTTGTGCCCAGATGGAAGGCTGACAGGCAGGTAGGCCGTCCAGTTACCTTAGCCGGCTCAGATGATTGGTCGAGCTTTCTACAGCGCCACGGCTTCAAAGCACTTCAGATATTCATTGCTATCGGATGTTAAGAGCATTCCATGGAATATAACAACAAGTGTATCTCGAGCCGGTTTCTCAAACTTACCTACCCCACCTTTAAGTGTGGTTTTAAATGCATTTACTTGTGAAAGGAGTATTTGACATTAATGCTATTGGTACGTTTTCTGAAGTAAAGACTGAATACTTTTTGTCTGATCCTCCTCACAGTCTAAGTGTCTGTTATATAAGAACAAGGTCAACGTCTTCTTTAATATCAAATGTGCCAAAAGGTGGCGCAGGAATGAGTTCTAAAACCAGCAAATGATTCAGCATGTTGGCACTTCCTGTGTCCTTGATATTTGTACATCGTGTTCTACGACATTGATCAGAAACCCTGCACCACTGTAAATAAGGAGAGTTATCAAAAGTATTGTTGACATCATATCAAAGTAATATCACCAAAAGTAAAATGTTAAGGGCCAACAAAAAAGAAGCAACTGGAAGATTTCAGAAATAAGTATGATCTGTATACCAATGTACGTAGAATACAGAACATGTACCAATATCCAATCAAAAACATACAATACACAAGCACAAAGACAAATGAAATGCACTCCATGACGTTAGACGAGATCCCAGTTGTGGTTTTCCTTAAAGAGGAGTCCTACGTTGAGATCTCTTTAGATCAGATCCTGGTTCTAACAGAAGTATTCAGTGTGTTTGAGGTGTGTAGGAAACTCACCAGAGATTCTGCTGTTAGTTGAGATCGTTGATTCTCCTTCAGAGAGACACGGAGCAGGAGACTCAGTTGTTATGTTTATGCATGTTTTTTTTTGGGTTGTTGTATTGTTTCCTGTTCGCTCCTTTTACCCCTCACTACTCTGTCTCTCCGTCTCTGCAGGGCTGGTGTGTGACAGGGGGCGTGGCTGGTATTCTCCCGGCTGCAGATGAGGCACACCTGTTCTGCTGAGTCCATTTCTTACATGTTCAGGCGACAAAATGGCAGATCTAACTAGAAATGTACCCTATTTGCACTCTCTATGGGCTGATGTTGATTACCCTGAGTAGTGTTGCGACCACTGGAGATAGAGATGACAATTATTATCTCTACTGTTTACAATTTGTTTTCAAATAAATTCAATCCATGGTTTGTTTGGGTATTCAGAAACAATAATAATAATAAAAAAAACTCACAAATGAATGCGAGAATAACGCGTTAACTTGTCCAGCCCTAATTATAACTAAAAGTGATGGATGAGTGACGAGTGTTTCTTTAAAGCTCACCTATTATGCTATATTTGAACAATATATCATAGGGCCAAATCTATACAAAAGTGTTTGCTAATGTTAGCTTAGGTACGTCAAGTGACAGTGACACGCTAACGGTAGCGTGTCACTGTCACTAGCTAACATTAGCTTTATAACATGTTGTTATGTTCTCTCCACTATGACAGACCCTTTTCATTCTGTCACACTTTTCTTTGTGTTCATATTTCAGGTTTTGGCGGCGTATGGGCAGCTTTGTGAGGGAGACATTATCTGGATGGTACCTCCAGACACGTTCTACCATAAGTTAGAAAGCCTAATAGTGTGGGGTTATGGCCTATTAGCACAGACTGAGAGTGATGGTGACCTGTCTCACAGGGGATATTTGAGAGTCAGGGCCTGATCTTAGCACATAATGCGGGCTGTGTCAGTGAACCGTCCCAGAGGAGAAACATGAGAGACGGGATGATGGTAGTAGAGGTATGTGAGTTCTCACCAGGGACGAGAGAGTCTTTGCGGCAGTCGTACAACATCCCGAGGCTGAAAGGCCGTCCGAGCGCCGCCACCTCCATCGTCCCGCTGACTTCCACCGCTTTGAAGGAACTGAAATAATCGACAACAGCTTGTTAGTTAAAGGTCACCTATTGTGCAAAATCCTCTTCTTCATGTCTCCTCTACATCAACATGTGTCCCCTCTTCTTCATGTCTCCTCTACATCAACATGTGTCCCCTCTTCTTCATCAACATGTGTCCCCTCTTCTTCATGTCTCTTCTACATCAACATGTGTCCCCTCTTCTTCATGTCTCTTCTACATCAACATGTGTCCCCTCTTCTCCATGTCCCTTCTACATCAACATGTGTCCCCTCTTCTTCATGTCTCTTCTACATCAACATGTGTCCCCTCTTCTTCATGTCTCTTCTACATCAACATGTGTCCCCTCTTCTCCATGTCTCTTCTACATCAACATGTGTCCCCTCTTCTTCATGTCTCTTCTACATCAACATGTGTCCCCTCTTCTTCATGTCTCTTCTACATCAACATGTGTCCTCTCTTCTTCATGTCTCTTCTACATCAACATGTGTCCCCTCTTCTTCATGTCTCTTCTACATCAACATGTGTCCCCTCTTCTTCACGTCTCTTCTACATCAACATGTGTCCCCTCTTCTTCATGTCTCTTCTACATCAACATGTGTCCCCTCTTCTTCATGTCTCTTCTACATCAACATGTGTCCCCTCTTCTCCATGTCTCTTCTACATCAACATGTGTCCCCTCTTCTTCACGTCTCTTCTACATCAACATGTGTCCCCTCTTCTTCATGTCTCTTCTACATCAACATGTGTCCCCTCTTCTTCATGTCTCTTCTACATCAACATGTGTCCCCTCTTCTTCATGTCTCCTCTACATCAACATGTGTCCCCTCTTCTTCATCAACATGTGTCCCCTCTTCTTCATGTCTCTTCTACATCAACATGTGTCCCCTCTTCTTCATGTCTCTTCTACATCAACATGTGTCCCCTCTTCTTCATGTCTCTTCTACATCAACATGTGTCCCCTCTTCTTCATGTCTCTTCTACATCAACATGTGTCCCCTCTTCTTCATGTCTCTTCTACATCAACATGTGTCCTCTCTTCTTCATGTCTCTTCTACATCAACATGTGTCCCCTCTTCTTCATGTCTCTTCTACATCAACATGTGTCCCCTCTTCTTCATGTCTCTTCTACATCAACATGTGTCCCCCTCTTCTTCATGTCTCTTCTACATCAACATGTGTCCCCTCTTCTCCATGTCTCTTCTACATCAACATGTGTCCCCTCTTCTTCACGTCTCTTCTACATCAACATGTGTCCCCTCTTCTCCATGTCTCTTCTACATCAATATGTGTCCCCTCTTCTTCACGTCTCTTCTACATCAACATGTGTCCCCTTTTCTTCATGTCTCTTCTACATCAACATGTGTCCCCTCTTCTTCACGTCTCTTCTACATCAACATGTGTCCCCTCTTCTTCACGTCTCTTCTACATCAACATGTGTCCCCTTTTCTTCACGTCTCTTCTACATCAACATGTGTCCCCTTTTCTTCATGTCTCTTCTACATCAACATGTGTCCCCTCTTCCTCATGTCTCTTCTACATCAACATGTGTCCCCTCTTCTACATGTCTCTTCTACATCAACATGTGTCCCCTCTTCTACATGTCTCTTCTACATCAACATGTGTCCCCTCTTCTACATGTCTCTTCTACATCAACATGTGTCCCCTCTTCTTCATGTCTCTTCTACATCAACATGTGTCCCCTCTTCTACATGTCTCTTCTACATCAACATGTGTCCCCTCTTCTTCATGTCTCTTCTACATCAACATGTGTCCCCTCTTCCTCATGTCTCTTCTACATCAACATGTGTCCCCTCTTCTTCACGTCTCTTCTACATCAACATGTGTCCCCTCTTCTTCACGTCTCTTCTACATCAACATGTGTCCCCTCTTCTTCACGTCTCTTCTACATCAACATGTGTCCCCTCTTCTTCATGTCTCTTCTACATCAACATGTGTCCCCTCTTCTACATGTCTCTTCTACATCAACATGTGTCCCCTCTTCTTCATGTCTCTTCTACATCAACATGTGTCCCCTCTTCTTCATGTCTCTTCTACATCAACATGTGTCCTCTCTTCTTCATGTCTCTTCTACATCAACATGTGTCCCCTCTTCTTCATGTCTCTTCTACATCAACATGTGTCCCCTCTTCTTCATGTCTCTTCTACATCAACATGTGTCCCCTCTTCTTCATGTCTCTTCTACATCAACATGTGTCCTCCTCTTCTTCATGTCTCTTCTACATCAACATGTGTCCCCTCTTCTTCATGTCTCTTCTACATCAACATGTGTCCCCTCTTCTTCATGTCTCTTCTACATCAACATGTGTCCCCTCTTCTTCATGTCTCTTCTACATCAACATGTGTCCTCTCTTCTTCATGTCTCTTCTACATCAACATGTGTCCCCTCTTCTTCATGTCTCTTCTACATCAACATGTGTCCCCTCTTCTTCATGTCTCTTCTACATCAACATGTGTCCCCTCTTCTTCATGTCTCTTCTACATCAACATGTGTCCTCTCTTCTTCATGTCTCTTCTACATCAACATGTGTCCCCTCTTCTTCATGTCTCTTCTACATCAACATGTGTCCCCTCTTCTTCATGTCTCTTCTACATCAACATGTGTCCCCTCTTCTTCATGTCTCTTCTACATCAACATGTGTCCCCTCTGTGTAAAGACGTTCTGAACGTTTCAGGAAAAAAGATTCTCTCTCTTTTTGTCCTGATCTGTGAGGGCTACAAGACGTTCTGAACTTTAATGGTGAATCGCTTCCACTTGGAGCATACAGTTTCAAGAAAAAGTATGTGAACCCTTTGGATTCTCCGCACATAGCGTTGTGTGTTCCTTCCAAACAACTCAACGTTGGTTTCATCTGTCCACAGAATATGTTGCCAGTAGCGCTGTGGAACATCCAGGTGCTCTTTTGCAAACTTCAAACGTGCAGCAATGTTTCTTCTGGACAGCAGTGGCTTCCTCCATGGTGTCCTCCGTGGTGTCCTCCGTGGTGTCCTCCGTGGTGTCCTCCCATGAACTCCATTCTTGTTCATTGTTTTACGTATCGTAGATTCGTCAACAGAGATGTTAGCATGTGCCAGAGATTTCTTTAAGTCTCTAGCTGACACTCTAGGATTCTTCTTCACCTCATTGAGCATCCTGCGCTGTGCTCTTGCAGTCATCTTTACCGGACGGCCACTCCTAGGGAGAGTAGCAACAGTGCTGCACTTTCTCCATGTATAGACAATGTGTCTTACCGTGGACTGATGAACATCAAGGCTTTAGAGATACTTTTGTAACCAGCTTTATGCAAGTCAACAATTCTTAATGGCAGGTCTTCTGAGAGCTCTTCTGTGCGAGGCATGGTTCACATCTGGCAATGCTTCTTAAGAATAGCACATTCAAAACTGGTGTGTATTTTTGATAGGGCAGGGCAGCTTTAACCAACACCTCCAGTCTCGTCTCATTGGTTGGACTCCAGGTTGGCTGACTCCTGACTCCCATCAGCTCTTGAAGAAGTCTTTAGCCTAGGGGTTCACATACTTGTTCCACCCTGCACTGTGAATGTTTACATGGTGTGTTCAATGAAAACATGAACACATATCATTGTTTGTGTGGTATTAGTTTAAGCAGACTGTGTTTGTCTATTGTTGTGACTTAGATGAAGATCAGAACACATTTTATGACCAACTTGTGCAGAAATCCAGGTCATTCCAAAGGGTTCAAAGGGTTTTCTTGCAACTGTATATCGCCACCTAGTTTTTGAGGAACTTGAAGATCAGCTTGTTAACTTCATTTCTTGATTTACTTTCGTATATTGACTTGAAATCCATGTCCTTGATGTTATGTTGTTCCAGTGCAGTTTTCCAGAGTCTTTGTCTGTTAGCTAAAAAATACATGATGTATTGTCTCTGGTTGTTGGCAACCATCACAATTGCCATTTGGATGTTTTCCAATCAGATGCAGTGATGAGTTTAATCCAGAGTGACCCAATGTTATCCTGCTGTTAATGCTCTGTTCTCTTCTACTACTCCCCCAAGTGCTTCCCGTTCCCACCTCCCTTTGTATCTGGTATAAATGTCTTTCTTTCGTGTTACTGTCCCATAGTTTTGCCATTGTAGCTTGATAACAACTCTTGTAACAGATTTGACTTCTGCTCTACTGATGGGTACCATTATATCAATCTGGTTTGCAAACCACATGTTGCCAGTTGATCCACTACCTCATTCCCTCTAATACCCACATGCGCTGGAACCCACACAAATTGAACAACAATTCCCAAATGAACTAACCTAAACATGATGTGTAAAATGTAATGTAAAATATCCTGACGGCATTCTGAAGAGAAGTTGTTTATACTCTCCAGAGATGCACTGGAGTCAGAGCAAATGACTCGCATTGGCTGTGTTTCCTCTACCCACTGAAGTGCTAGAGAGATAGCCATCATCTCTACTGTATATACTGCCATGTGATCACTCGTACGCTTTCCCACTTTCACCTTTAACTCAGGAACATAAACTGCACAACTAGAATGTTCTGGATCCATCAGAACATATTTGTATAAACTGCCCATATTGTTCATGTAGAACAGTGTTCACGTAAGCCTGCACATTGATTTGACTTTTCATTGAATGTAACCGTTTCAATAATGATAAATCTACTACAGGTTGAGGTAGCAACCATGGTGGAACAGCTGATAACAACACCGTCAGACTAATAT